CATGCAAATGTTTAATTTCTCTGTAAAAGTTTAATTTTGCTTCAATTGTTTAATTTTTATTTAATTTCCTTAATTCCTCTGTACACATTTAAATGTACATTCATCTCAGGCCAATTTCTGCGTATGGTTACTGTGTTATAAGTTAACTCTAATGCATAAGTCAAGTCTAATGTATGTTCAATGTATGTTACTGCCACTGGATGCTTGAATTTCCTTTGGGATCAATAAAGTATCTATCTCTCTATCTCTCTATCTATCTATCTGTCTATCTATATGTCTTCTCTCCTCTCTTTTCTTCCTCATTGTTCTCCACTCACTCAAACTGACTGGGGCAGATAGCTGCCCTCATTGAGTCTGGTTTTGTCAGAGGTTTTCTCTGGCCAATATTTGCTATTTTATTTTTGAAAGATCTCAACCTTACATACATTTTTTTAAAATTTATTTCTATTATTTTACATTCGAACAGGAAATGTTACTGAATCTACACGAGACTGTACTGTAACTGCTTTGTATTTTCATATTCTTCTTGAACTCCAGTATTTTGACCCTGCCCGCGCACCGTCGCTGAAAACAACTTAAAATGGCGTCAGTGGAGTCACAGCCGCGGTTCGGACAGTCTGTTAAAGGTTTATTATCCGACAAGGTGGGCTCCTGTAGCGGGGATGTGATTGCGCTGACCCGCCAGGTGCTGAAAGGATCCCGAAGTCAGGAGGTAAAGTGACACGAAGGATTGTATCACAAGCAATCAGGACGCAGCTAAATGGAGCGAGCAGCCGGAAACACCACCAGAGCTGCGAGTGTGTACAAAATAAAAGCACCGCAACTACACCAGTACCGAGCCCAACGGCGGCAATTCTATTTTGAAGGTTTTGTTTTCGTACGCTTGTTAAAGTGATTGGAGGCGACTATGATTGATGCTAATAAACACCATTGATAAAAACACATAATTAGTTGTGCTGTTAAAATGGAGCTGAACGTCAGCGTTAGCATTCAATACAAAGTCAAAGCCCATGATGAAGTTGGAGTGGCTTTCTCTATCTCATGTCTTGGACCTAAACAAAAATACCGTAATAACTTTTAACTTGTCAACTTGCAGCCCTAAACACACCTGATTGTTGCTGGTGTGTCTTTCAGCTTCTTGGTCAAGCAGCAAGAAATATGGTGATTCAGGAGGACGCTATCCTTCACGCTGAGGATGTGAGTATCAAACATGCATACACTCAACTGAACAGAGATGAAAGCATACAAGAGTTTCTCAGTGTCAGTCATCATCGAGTGCACTGATAACTCAGTGAAGTAACCAGAGGTAAAGTGATTTATTCTTGTCTTCCAGAGTCTGAGAAAAATGTCCATCATTACCACACATTTACAGTACCAGTGAGTATCAGTCACAAACTTGAAGCTCACTGATTTTTGTTCAACTGAATATTGAATGTGTGTGTGTGTGTGTGTGATTGTCTGTCTGTCGGTCATTAAGGCAAGAGGCCATCCAGAAGAAGTAAGTCTTAACACCACCCTGTTTATGCTTTAGTGGAACACTCTGACATCACTGTCTCCTTGGTGAGCCATAACACAAATTGATGACATGCCCTGCCTCTTCTGTGCACGCTTATTTCTGTCCTCCAGTGTGGAGCACTCTAAAAACCTGCAGGACCAGCTGAGACACCTGCTGAAGTGAGGGTGACACAGGCCAACCTCAGGAGGATGTCTGAGCAGGACTGAAACATTCACAAGATTTATTACCATATTTACACCTTAAAACTGTGGGCTGACTGGTTCAGCAGGGAGTGGGACTCACCAATAAATATGGCTGTGTATCAGCTATAGTACTGTGTTGTAAGAATGGCTCTGTAAAATATTTTCAGTTGTAATAAAGTATTGTATTGACTACCTATTCTGTATTGTCTTTGCTTGTCCAAATGACACACACTGCATCAACCTCTATAAAATGGGCAAGGATCCAATACACGCCTGTAAAAAAAAACCCCAGCTATATATCTTTAATAAGACTTGTCTTTCCTTTAATTGTATAAGAGTTAATTTGTCTTCTTGCTGCATCTAAAGTGTATGAAATTCATAGTACAATTGTGATCATTAAACAGCACGTCACATTTTTTTCGATACACTACAGTTTGATTCTCACGTTGGACAACTGTTTATTTTTAGTTTCTAAGAAAATCCAATTGAACAAGGGGAAAATTCTTTTTTTTTATCGAGATAAAAAATGATTATTGTTCAAATTTTCCATAGGGATAAAGTCAAATGTTCTTGTTGTTCAAAGATAGCAGATCCTGGTGATGTGCACTGCTGGAGGGCATCACTATCAAACTGCAAATGTATTCAACAAACTGCTTCAGAACTGTGTGGCGACACAGTTCTGACCCTTATGGGGTCTCCCCATGTCAACACACCTGCTGTTCATAGATGCTTTGATCCAAAGTAGTTTCATTTTAATTTAAATGAGGCATTAAAAGATTGTTGTTTTAACATTTACAGTTTACATTATGTAACTAGTTGAAAAGGGAGACAGTCTGGCATGGCCTTTCAATGAAGAGTCCTCTTTGTGCAGCCAGTATTTGGATGCATCACCACCTCAGACTCATGATAAGGAGCAAAGGGACAAACTTATCTGCAGCCTGAAGGCTGAACAGCTGCTAGACCCTGACAATATCCCTGATTCTGTGCTGTTGACTCTTGTAACCTAATCCTGCACGTGTTCCACACCACGACATAGAGAGTTTGCAGCTGATGAGCTGGCTGAGAGCTCCAGGGCTGACATACAGAGGACATTTAGGCGAACCAGCAAACTCCATGTTTCTAGACACTAAATATCCCAGAGCTTCAGAGAAAATGCAATGTTCCTTCCCAGGAAAACAGGATTCAACAGCAGCAGTGGAAAACGTCTGATAAGAGAAGTTTTTAAAATAGCCTCATAAAGGACCCATTGTAAGCTTAAATGTTCATGGAGTAATACTTAGATAATAAATATGTCAGGCACCTATTACAAAGTTACATTTATGTCAGGTGTATGTATGAACGATATATAGTACATTCACTACCTAGGAGTCCTAGGTATTAGCTACTCTACTAATTATTGAGTCCAAGAATCCACAAACAAGAGACATGGCAGTTTCTTTTTACCAAATTTGTTCCAAGACAACACATCTGATCTGGTATGTATCATCCGTAAATCAGCTGAATTGAGACAACAGTGGCTCCGAAGGTACATAAAAAACATTGCACTAAATGGGGAATGGATTGTGACTGTGAGTGTGGACTTACAGTCTAGCCTAAAATGTTTTGCCTAAATAGGGTTCTTTCTCTGCAACAGTGCCTCATCAAGGATAATCTCAAAAGTGTGCTCACCTTGATACAGATTCCCCAACTCTGTAGAATTGGGTCCACACTTTCTCCAGAGTTTGCCTTTTGAGACATTATCAACTCAGGGGGAGATTCTCTGCTCAGAAAACATTCATAACAGCAATTAACCCTGTAAACTCAGGCAAGGTGTGAAGCAGCATGCAGAGGCAGGGGGTAATGTATAAATTCAGCTGGGGAGATAATTTGTTTTAGTTTACAACACAGACACCAGCGTCATCCCTTAACAAAAACTCTCTTGAAATGAATGACTGCAGTGTGTGGCAATTCTTTTTTAAATCCAGAGATATTTGTGATCTAAGATGGAAGTTAGGATACCACTAATGTGTGAAGTAGTCAGTCCGACTGCTGTAAACAAGAATACTGCAGTGACACTCATGCATAAGTGATAATAGCCTATGCGAGGATTAGGTGGAAATGAGTGTTCAGGAAACACAAACATTTTCTGGCCCATTATAATGATAGCTGATTCAGATTCTCTCTTTGTGCTGAACTGAGTCCAGTATTACACACTGACTTGACAGAACCGAACAATCCAAGAACAAACCCAAGCACTGACCACTGTGGGTTAATAAGCCAGGTATGTGTTTGATACGAATAAACCTGTATACTGTTTACATTTATGTTTAAAGTCTCATTTTCTTTTCACCCTCATTTTATAGGTCAGGGATATTGTAGCGATCCCTGAGTTTAAAAATGCCCTACATTCATACAGTGCATTTATGCACAGCATAGTTCAATAGATCCATCATTCAATACTGTCTAAGCTGTCAGTGACAGTTTGGGGTTCAGCACCTTTCCCAACAGGAGATACACATTGGAGAACCAAACTTCTGGTTAATAGATAACCCGCTCTACCTCTTGAGTCACAGCGTCGGCCCTTTGTGTGGTACTCATTCCACTGTATTAAGAAGGGGTAGCAGTCAGACATTACCACTGTGTAGTGTCTCACCTCAACCTCACTGCTAAGCTTCACAATGTCGATGTCAGAAAAGTTGTGATTCTTCTCGCTTTTTGATGCAATACATCTTAGAGACTTGTTGATCAGCAGTTATTTAACATTCATGATCTATTTATGGTTGTGGGTATGTAGAGGAAGGGATGTGAGGCAACGCAGACAAATTTCCATGTGAACTGTGATTTATAAAGGGAACATTGCGTTCAGGTGTGCTTGCGCAGTATTACAAATCGGATAATATTTTTGGCATACACCACTCTCAGTTTTTATGGCTGAGGGGTAGAGAAGGTCCAACGAGAAGATCGGCGGTTTCGATCCCAGACTTCCCTATCTGTCTTCCCCAAGTGTCCTTGGCAAGATACTGAACCCTGAATGGCCCCTAGGGGATTGTGTCAATTGCTTAACAGACCTCTGAAATAGCAGACTATAAACTAAATGTACTGTAAAGCGCTTTGAGTGGTCATCAAGACTAGAAGAATGCTATATAGATACAGAACATTTATTTATAGTATGAAACCTACGCACTGTTTTATCAGTGAGGCCCCTGATCAGCAATAGGTACAGGTTTCTATGGAAGATCATATATAGTCACAAAGTCGTAGTGATGAGACATATCTAAATTTGAGTTTTTTATTCAAACTTATCAGAAAGTGTGCAACATTTATAACAGACCATAAGAAAAACTAAATGATAAGAATTAGTTCTTTAACAGACCTTCTCATTCACACTTCTGGAAACACCCATTTGTCCGAATACATGCCAGAATTTAATGGTGTCTTCCTTGGCCCATGTCTCAACCTTCCACCACCATTTTTGCATAATCCTGCTAACAAACAAACCAACAAACAGCTGGTAATGGACGGGTGAAAACATAACCTCCTTGAAAGAAGTTATAACTTATTATTCTTTCTGTTGAACTCTACTTGTGCTAAAATATCTTATCATGGCGTCAAATCCCTACATTGGATGAGTAGTCTTTGGAAGAAGAAAATCATTTTTGTCCCAAATATGTTAAGTGTACCACCAATCTGGCTCATTCATTCAAATGAGGTTAGGGTTAGGATCTTAACCTTAGGCACATTTTTAAGTTACACATATGATGCAGGAGTAAGACACAGGGCAATGAACTATTTACACTGAAAATGCTAATTAACAAATGAAGAGTGGATTCTCTTTTCTAATAAACTGAATGAAGCAGAAAATTTAACAAACCCAGCAGAACCAGGAGGATCCAGTTACTGACAGCTGCTCTACCCAAACAAGGTAGATATTCTCTTTCACTCTATCAGTTTCAGTCTCACTATCTTGATTTTATACTTCTCTGTACACTTTATGATTGTGATTTACAGCAAGTCCATGTTGTCTACCTGACAGGCAGACTCAGCCCTATAGATATATAAAAAAGGATGAATTTCAAACAATCAAAGCAGATAAATTAAAGTGAGAAAAAGATTAATCTGCAGACTCCCTTGCACTTCTTAATTTACTCCTCATCGTCATCCTCGTCATGGCAGTGTGTGATCTCCTGTGGAGCCTGAGGGAAGAAATAGGGAGGCTGGATCTCACTAATTGATCTGGTCAACTGGTGCCGTTTGCACTTTATCTCCATGAAGTCCATGTCATGGCGATTTCGTGTGGCAAGTGGAGATTCTGTCTCAATGTTGGTGTGGGTGTGCTCCACCGTTGACTCATGAGGCATCTGGAAGGGAAAAACTTACATTTAATGCTGTGAATCAAAAATATAAATAAGTAAAGAAGATTGACAGACACATTGGAGACCCTCAGTGTAATAGTGTGATAGTGATTCTCACCAGTACATGTGAAGCTCTGAACAGATAGCTGAAAGGATAGTAGAGCAGGTTGATGAAAGACGCAGCATACAGGTCAGCATAGCGCATCACTTGGGAGGCAAACAGTGTTTGACGGGAGCCACTGCGAAACAGACTTCCCATCATGCCATAGCACATGTCCATGTCATGAGTCACTTTCTGGGGGGACAAAGAATAATGCATGAAATAATTTCAATTACTGATATTTGGACTGGCAGCTGTAAGGGAAATGTTACATGTTGATCATGCAGAATGTACTCATGTTCATTTCCTCTGTGATTGATCATGATTGAATCTTTACAATGTAACCTTGATCATGCTGAATCCTGTGCAACTGATTGAATCTTCACCTGATTGCCTCAACTAAGGCATTGTTGCCCTGATGTCATCAGAAGATCCTGAGCTTTTGCTTAGAAACAACCTCAACCAGAAGGGGAGGAAACGAGCCAAATGTATAAAGAGCAAGAACAGCTTCCCATCGGCGTGCATATTACAAACTAACCTTTGTCTTGTGTACCATGCTCTGAGCATTAAAGTGTGACAATACTGTAAGAGATTTTTGTCTCGTTCCTCGTTGTCATAGTGGGATTGAAGAATTGACACGACACAGCCTTGATTAATCTTTTCTATGGAAGTATAAAATATTTTTCTTCGAATAGAGGCGATTAAAAAAATTACATTGTGGTCACAGTTTGATTATAGATTGAAAATATATCTATATTTTGTGAAAGCAACGTGCACATTTAATAGTGCTCTGCAGTCCTGTACCTCCTTCAGCTTCTACACCATAGGACTATTAGTCTTATTTTACTAATGTTCTCCGTTAAACATGGCATTTATTACACTTCTGTCCGTCCTGGGAGAGGGATCCCACACATTTTTAGTAGTTTTCTTTTTGAGGGTAAAGGGCAGACATGACTTCTTGGTAAAATCGAGAGAATTGGCCACAGAGTTTACCCAAAGTCTGCCTTTCACACGCACAACACAGCAGGAGGTTTTCTGCAACAGCAACACATCCTCCCTTATTCAGGAAACAGGTGGAGCAGCCAGTTGCAGTAGACAGAGGAAGGAAGTGACGTAGTAAGTCATTTTACAGCACCCTGACACTGTCATCGGCTCTTATCACCACAAACTCTCCTGACATCTTTGTCTTGTCTTTTCTTTGTGTGAAACATTTTTTTCACTGGGAGATATTTCTTATTTTTTCATTTTTGCATCTGGCGAGTGTTAGAACCACCCCACTCCCTCTCAGTGAATCCAGCAGGGATCCCCAGCTGTGTTCACACATTGACTTCTCTGGAAAAAATATGAAGGAACTGCAAAGTCCAGTGCATGTCTGGAAGCAGCTAAGTGAAACACAGGAGGAGGTTGTACCTTGATCTGTCCCTGCAGGGAGCTGATGTCTGGCCTTTCGTTGCTGCTGCTGTCCAGATGTCTGAGGACAAAACAAAGTGTACTGTGATCTGGGAAGACAACTCTGTTAAAATGTAGCGTCCACATCAGCTGGATGCTTCACAAGCTCTGGAGAGCAATATCAAAAAAACATGCTGCCAGCTTCTACACACACAAATAAGTGTGTGTCCCATTTACCGGCGGGCAAGTTAAAATAGACATATGATGTTTTATCGCGGGCCAGATATAATTGTACCAAGGGCTGGAAGTGGCCCGCGGGCCTTGAGTTTGACATGTCTGCACTAGATAGTCAAAGTCTAGCTGTCTGACAAGGTCTGACTCAATTGACATAAATGACAATGAGCTGAGACGTGTTTGGCCCATGCTAAAGAGACCGACATACTGACAAACTGAGAGGATTGTAGCTCAAATCGAGGGAGAAATTTTTTACTAAAGGGAGACCAAATTGTGTTTTGACATTCATTCTTTAATGAGTTGGATGTGCTTTAAGAGCACAAACTGCCGGTGAGCTAAATTACAAGCATTCCACTGTTAGCTTGCTGTTGGTAAAATAATTATATCATAATAAATACAGCTTCAGAAGTCAGCAGTTATAATGTGACCTGGCATGGTCAGCCTCATGTTACAACCCTGCGTTAGCCAGCAAAAGAATGATTATATAGAGTGCCCCAGGAAGTAGGTCATGGGTTCCCTCTGCTCAGTGTTTGGTTGGTTTTTGAATGGGGTTTTGGTTACAAATATAAATCAATTTAAAAAATAAGGCATTTCATTACTTTATTACCTTTAAAATTGCCTTTGATTAACCTTACCTTGTATTTGTCTTATGCTCTATCAAGAGAATATAAAAAAATCTGTCCACATATATAGTCAGATTACTTAAAAATATGACAATTCTACAAACAGTATAAACAACAATATTAAGTGATAACCAGTGTGCTAGTCTGTAACAATACCACAATGTGCATTTAGCACACACGCTAGCTAATAATGTCTCAATGAGCTTCTTATTTCCAAATAAGCGCTGCAGGGCCTGGGGGCCCTAGTGGTCAGCTGAGGCTTTAAGCATGGAGGGGCCCTAGTGGTCAGCTGAGGCTTTAAGCATGGAGGGGCCCTAGTGGTCAGCTGAGGCTTTAAGCATGGAGGGGCCCTAGTGGTCAGCTTACATTTTAAACACCAAGGTGTCAGGGGGCCCTTACATTGTAAGTGCTGAGGGGTCTTGGGGGCCTTAGAGGTTTGCTCATGTTATAAGCACCGAGGGGCCTAGTGGCCAACTTGCACTGTGGGCACTGAGAGTCCTGGTGTTGAACGTTCTCCGTGTGCGGCCTGAGGCTTGGTGGCCCCCTGGCAGTTTGAGGCTCCAGGGCACTGGCCGCCCTGTCAGGTCCATAATCCAGCCTTGCGCACCAGTAAATCTTAATAAACTCTGCAGCTTTTCCAAAATGCTGTAGCAAGACCCAGGAAATATTTCATATTTCTACTGTATTAACTCGACTTAACTAACTTCTAAAATAAAATATAAATAAAACACAACAAATGCTGCTTTAACAAAGAGGAGCTCACTTGTAAAGCTCTGCCAGGAAGCAGTCCAGAGACTGAAGCTCCTCAAATATAGCTGAAAAACAAACATTGGCAATGACATTAGTACATTACATTGTATTCCTGATGGTTTTACTTACCACATTATGTCTTGGTCACATGGCTACATTTGGTGTGTGAAATAAAGAAGCAGACTCACATTTCTACCATGCATGATATACAGGAGGATTTTATTCTATCTGCCAAATAAATCTTGAGTTTAAAATTAAAAGATATATCATAGTAGCTTTTAATTTAATTTAGTGTAGATTACTAGATTTCATAAACAGTGGAATTATAAAGCTATATGTGTATATACACATACATATTAGTGTGTATGTGTTCAGTCTCACAGCTTTTGTCAGTCCAAACTCGCAGCTCCTGGGCCAGCTCAGGTATCACCAGGAAAGTCCTCCAGCCCTGACGCTTCTTGGATTTGAGAATATCACCAAAAATGTGGTCTCCAATGTAGATGATGTCCTTTCCTTTGGCACCCAGCAAGTCACACACAATGTCTGAAGATCCTGTGAGTAAACATAAGATATTTTGCTCGTGCTTGAGGTAATCCTCAAGATTATTTAGCAACAAGTTTCCAGTAGCAGCAACAGGGAAGTGTTTGGGGCAAAGACCTAGATACTAAGCATGAGAACACCATGACAAAAGAGGTGAAGGAGGAGAGCTCAGCACAGGCAGACTCTGGTTTGGAGATGTGAGTGACTACTGCAGAGATTTAACCATGGTTTTCTCCAGGTACAGGCTGCAGTATTTCCTTTGGTTGCAAAACCACATATACCGTAAATGTGCATGGCACTAGATTACAGGCTAGTGGCACTAACCTGTCCACATTTCAATTTCTATCAATGGAATGTTCACGTTTCAGTCATAAAACATTTCCTATCATTGTAACATGCCATATGTAATATAGGGATATATTCACATATCAGAAGAACTACAAATGTATAGCCCAATTTTATATTCCAGTTGTAAAAACAGGTTCAACTCTCGTCTAGCTTTTTTCTTTGAACAACCATTTGTTTTGTGCATAAAACCCCATAATGTAATGTAGTAAATCAGATATTAGGTATACATCCAATCTGCTACATCTCTCTGAAAGAAGAAGTGACCAGATTCACGTGAAATAAGAAAATATCACTTCCAGACATATATGGACAAACTTTGAGGGTTGTTTCTATGACCATTTCATTTTAAAGCAAATTGAATTCGAAGAAAATAATCAACAAGCTTTTACCTCCGGAGTAAACAATACCACGCTGGAGTGTTCCAGTGTATGTGCCGAGCTTCAGCTGACCCGTGGTCTGAAAAAAAAACAAGGTTCAAACACACACTCATACACAGAAGTAATGTATCTTACAGAGTTTTTCTCCCATCTTTATTCAGGACTGTGTTCTTAAAGCAAATTTGCACACAAACAGGGACTCTTTAAGAGAGAGAGAGGGCATGGTTTTGAGCTAAAGCTATAAAAATAAAATTACACTATAGTATCTTTACAATAATGTGAAATGAAACAATAGTATCTTTACACAGCAGAGCATGTTGATTCAGAAATGAAATACCATTGAATAAAAGCAGAGTATGATATTTTGTACACACTCACAGTGTCGACCTGCCGCAGCACTGTTCCTTCTCCAAAGAACACAGGCTTCCGGGCATCCACCAGGATCAGGTCAAAGTAGGACTGCCAGGGCTGGTGAGGTGTGCCTGGCTGCGATAAACAGACACAAACAATCACGCACACATTATGTATTTGTGTGTGGATTCGTATGCAAATCATCAAAACCACACTCATTTGTAAAGGTATGGTTGGCAGTGTTTTCTTTGTTTCATTGTTTTTTAATTAAACCCTAAATGTACAGTTGAATGGCAGGTGAGAAATGTAGGGCCCAGTACTGTGACTGCAGCATCTAAAGTTTTAAATGATGTTGCTAGTGCCTGATTAAACAAAATGGATGCTATTCTCTAAAAAAATGATAGACAGTCATTCAGAACAGAAGATTTCTACTCTGAATGGACTCTTATTGAACAAGTAGATTCTTATAAATACCTTGGTTTTTGGATTGATGAAAAGCTGTGCTTTAAAAAACATGTCAATTAACTAACTAAAGCGGGAAAAAAGTAGTACAGTCACCTTTTATCTGTTATGGACAACGGCAATATGATATATATATCTCTGGCCTCCACCCTTCACTCATTCTATCACTCTGGTCTCATGTTCATAACAGGCGATGGCTTTATAATGCATCACTGTGTACTAAACAGTTCTTGCACAGTCACTGGCAGAAAGAAGGGAACAGAACTGCATTTTATGTATTTACAAAGCACTTATTGGTGAACTTCCTGATTATCTTTCGTGTCTTTTTAACTACAGATCAGTATCACACTGCAATAGGTCTTAAGACTATTTGTTCCTTAAAAAATGTGTGATTGGGAAATTGGCTTTCAAATACTTCACCACACACACATGGCACAACTTGCAGAAGCTTATAAAACTAGACAAGCTGGTCCCCTTTTGTCAATTTAATCCATTTAAGCAGTATGAATGAATTTGTTGCCCATACATTCTTGTTGCTCTCCCTATGTTGATGTCCTTAGTCTGCTCTAAATGGTCTTTCCCCTTTCTTTTTGAATTTGATTTTATCATCAGTATTACCTTTGGGCCATGGGAAAAGTCAAACAGGTAGGTCATAATTTTCTGTAAGACAACAGGAGAGGTTTTTTGTTAACACTGGTCCAGATCATTAACATGACCTTGCATTATTGGCACAGTCAAAATGTATAGGTACATAATGAACTTTCTTTGATAATACAAATAATAAAAACAAGACAGTAGGTTCTGGTTAGCTTTAATCGCTCTTAACATATAAGACTGAACTTTCACCTCACCTCTGTGTACTTGTAATCACTGTTGGTGGCCAAAAACACTTTGGCTACTTCATTCATGCGACTGAGAAGGAGAAGAAGCTTTGGCTTGAAGGAGGGATAAATCATCATCAAATTGTACATAAAGAATGCAGACAAATTAAAATGAAAGAAAATAAGACTGAGCTAGAATGTTTTGTTACAACTCTGGACAACAGAGTGCAGCATTTGTTGACCAAAAGTAGTACATGGTTGCTGTATGTACTCACATCCTTTACCACATACTTCTCCAAGTTTTCAACAGTTTTTTCTTTTAAGGACCCCTGTGAAAATAAAAAAACCCCAATAAGGCTGAGGATGGACTGAGCAGTGAGATGGCCTACACTTGCCTAGACACAGGTTTCATGTGGAAAGTGATAAGTATCTACCTTGAAATGAACCCAATCCACAGCATCTCGGACATCCTGGAACATGCTCTTGTAAGACATGAAAAGGTCACCATCTTTGAAGCCAGTCTCACAACTACAGAGACAGTTAAAATCATGTGAACATTACACTCTGCATTACAAGGATTTAGGGTTTCCCCTTGCAGAGCTTCTAAGATAGCATTCTGATTAAGATACTGACATTTTACTGAAACTGAAAAAGTTCACATTAGATTCCAGACAGTATTCTGTATGTAACAGTGACTGTGTAGTACCTTGAGTATCTGGGGCAGTTAGTAAAGAAATCAACTAGGCAAGCGAACAGGTAGGTTTCTGAGGAAGCAGACAGTTAGGCAGATTTATTCATCCAATATGACTAATCAATCATTACCTTTATTATCATTACCATTATTTTTGACACACAGGATCACTACCTTCTTTGGTCATAAAAATATCAAACTGAAGTTAAAAATCATTCATGTCTAAGCTTTTAATGAAAAAGTGAGAGTTGTTACTGTAAGTAACAGTTTGTTCTCCCCCTTTTCAAGACACCTACAAAGATGGGGTAAATGAAGTCTCCATGTTAATTGGGGAGAATGGTACAGATGAGAATGATTCTTGTGTTACAGACCTATCCTTGAGACTGAATTCATAGCTGCCAGAGTGGTTGCCAACACTTTTAACACAGGATAGACTCAAAACTTCTGTCAGTAGCAACAATTCACACCCACTGAAGAAGTGACAGAAACACAAGAGGCACTTTGGGACTTCATTGTGTGGGTAATTATTTATAGAATAAATGATTTATTCAAATTATCACAAGTTCAATCAAGTCTGCTGATAAAAATGCCCACCATTATTGTGCTCTAATGATACATGTTGAATATCCTAAAGTCTTACAGTATAATAATAATCAATGTAACATTTCTAATTCTAGGATAACAAAAGTTTTTGTAATGGTGTCTTTTCTTACCAGGCAGGTTGAATAGTGTATTGAGGATGTAAAACCGGTCTGTGTCTCCACGTTGAATAAATTTGTTGGGGTACAGCTCTCTTATGTCAGGTCTGTGCAGAATTAGTACATATACATCCATACAGGAGGTCAAACAGGCAACCACATAGTTAATATTGTCCATTGAATTGCATGCCTGTGCCTCTCATAGTCCCTCTCTCTCTTTCTCTCTCTCATTGCAGGTATCTCTGAACCCAGAACTGCAGGAGAACAACTATTATTATTAKTGTTATTATTATTATTATTAACAACAATACTTATTAGTAATTAATTATTATATGAATTGTTGCTGCTATCAATAATAATCAATAACTTCTTTACACTGTTATTGTTTACATTTTAACTAGTCAGATCTGATACCTGATGGTGCACAAGTGTTCCCGGTCTCTCTCGCTCCTCTCTCTCTCTCCTCTCTCTCTCTCCTCTCTCTCTCCTCCTCCTTCCCCTCCTCACTATCTCTCTCTCTTCTCTCCCCTCTTTTCCATCCATCTCTCCTCTCCCTTTTTCCTTGCTCATCCCAACTGGTCGAGGCAGATGACCGCCCACATTGAGTCTGGTTCTAGAGGTTTCTCCCTGTTAATGAGGTTTTTCTCTCAACAGTCACCAAAGTGCTGCTCATTGTGGGAACTGTTAGGTTTCTCTATGTTAAATAAGATTTTAAGTTCTTGACCTTCTATGTAAAGTGCCTTGAGATAATATATATTATGATTTGGCGCTATACAAATGAATTGATGAATTGAGTTGTTAGAGAGCTGGATAAAGGAAACTGCCTGGTTCTTTAATGGTATGGTTGACATTTATGTCAGCTCAGTGGGAGTAATGGACCTCACCCTCTTAAGAAGATGAATCCATGCACACACACTAGGATGTTCCCATAGGCATCCACTTTGAGCAGATTGCCATACACTGTGTCAAACACCAATCCTCTAAGAAGAACAGAGACAGGTCAGTAAGAACAAAAAGCACATGAGTGATCATTTCTTGCAATGCCATCCAAATATCAAGTTTCAACACTATTTTCAAAAAGGCAGGGCTCTGTGAACAAACCTGGTGGGGAAGGAAGGGTCATAGACAAAGTTGAGCAGCTCTTGTGGATATCCAATGGACACCAGGCGCTCCACTGTCAAGTCAAATCCCAGGGACTCATACTCAGGAGATTTATACACTACACAGACAGGGGAACAGGCTAACGATCACAATACACAAATCATCCTGATGAGGGCTGTGCATAAATTATAAAATGAATAAAAGCAAAGTGAAACAATTCAAGATAGGAAGCATCAAAGACATGCACCCACGTGTCTTGGACTTTGAGTGTGGCACAAACAGGAAACTTTGATGATGTGGGAGGGGGTCTGTTATTCACACATATTCATACAGTGCATCTATGGGCAGCACTCTTTTATGTTTTAAGTGTCCTTGAGCAAGAAACTGAGTTATCTTTGGGTCTTTAATAGAGCTCTGCAGAGGGTTTCACACTCAGAGTGGAACACCTCCAATAGGGCAAGGAGAAGGTTTTATATAGTCGGGTAATCAGGAAACATAAGAGACAACCATCTCTGAATAATAGCATGAAAAACTGAAGCCTCCTGTAGTCTAGTTGAAACAGGAAGCTGCTAGCTACACAGATCAAGGTCAACAAGAGGATCATCATCAAGTAAGGACATGAGCTCTGAGGTAACATCTGCCAAGTGCATAGCAACACTCAGGGCATTTGTTAGTTAAAGGTAAAAATGAAAAAAAGGTGTCTGTCTAGTTTTGATGCGAGCACAACTGTTTCTATATGAATTATTGTTTAACACAGCACACGAGCATTGATCAGACATAGGAAAGAGTTCAAGCTAAGGCCATATGCAAATTTTCCATTACACCCCTTAATTCAAATAAATCGAACAAATAGGTGAGTAGCTGCGGTGGCACGGCTTCAGGGTTCTGCAGGCTGAGTCCCACAGCCAGTTTTTACTTGCAGCAACTCAATTACTCCAGGTTTCTTTTAGGTTCAGAAAGAAAGATGCAATAAGTCTTCCTACAGGCCAAGCAAACAGCCAAACAGGCATGTTTAGAACAGGCAAAGCAATAGTTTATGTAAAATCGGAAATTACACTGAACAAAAATATAAACGCCCCATGTCAAATATAAGAGTTTTATTAACATTTGGGTTACGCAATATATAAAGAAATTCAAAATTTATTTTCAGTAATTACTAATCTTCATATCAGCATTGATAACATCATGGTATGGCCATTTGTAACAGATTGACAGTCCTTTGAACATGATAGGGGTCAGGTTGAGGAATTTGATTGTTCAATATCTTGTGTGTCCGCCAGCTGTGTCTCTCAGAGCAACACATCTTCTTCGCATGGAGTTGATCAAATTGAGTCGAGTCGGTTCCTACGCTGGACAGCAGTGAGATCCAGACCACGGTGAGGGCGCCGAGCATGCAAGTTGGCTTCTCGTAGGTGGATACGGACAGTGATGCGTCTGTTGTGCAGACCAATAGTCTCATCAGCTGTGCATGTCGCTGGTCTTAGCCGATCCCGCAGATGTCGGAAACGAACTCTCAAATGGCCTATGGTCCGATAATGGACAATGAGCCGCGCAGCTTCTGCTCTGGTGGTCATCCCTGCATCCAACATGCCAATGCCACGTTCCCGCGACATCTGAGGCATTATGACTTGTGACAAAATTTGACATTTTGGGGTGGCCTTTTATTGTCCCCAGTCAAAGGATTGTCCGGCTGTTGCTCATTTTGTCTGATCACCCACTGGACACACCCCACCCATGCACTCAGTAAAAAAACAACTCACTGAGTAATGCCCACTGACAGCGAGTTGGATTAAAAAATTATACACAAATCAAGAGAAATATCACTTTTGTACAATAAAATGTTAGCAAATGTTCATTTACAGTTGTTAACTCCACATGGCAACAATATTTTACATGGGGCRTTTATATTTTTGTTCAGTATATATGAAGTGGAATCCCTGCTATTTTCTTAACTGGTTATTTTATTACTAAAAACTACCTAAAAAAGACAAATTAATTAACAGGCAACATGTAATTTAAGATTTATACAAAATAAGGGGGCTTATGATTAAGTTTGAAACCTCTGCTTTCAGCTGCTTTTACCTTAGTATTTACTACAGGATTATTGTTATGCTGGTTGGCAGTATTGTTTTTGTTTTTTTATTGTAGGGTTTTGAATATCAGAATCAGAATCAGAAAAGCTTTTATTGCCAAGTAAGTTTGCACATACATGGAATTTGTTTTGACGTTGTTGGTGCATGTCAGACATCTCTAAATATAACAAGATAAAAAAAATCAAGTATTAAAATGTAACAATGTAAATATAAAAATATATACACAGTATGTTTTTTGAAGGTAAAAAATGAGAAATAAGAAGAGCAGTACAGCTGAGTAAGTATAGTGTTCACAGTATGCAGATAATTTCCAATATAAGTATATAGCTGAGCGTTAATGTAACGCATAGAGTAGAGAATGCAGTGTCAATGTGACATATGGAGGCAGAGGTGGAGTGTGAAAGAGTGTCAGGTTGGGTTCCGGGCGTTGTTGATAAGGCTAGTAGCGGATGTTCATTGTTTTTGGCAGGTTGAATTTCTTCAACTGCYGCAGGAAGTAYRTCCTCTKCTGAGCTTTCTTRATGAGRGAGSTGATGTTCAGCTCCCACTTGAGGTCCTGGGAGATGATAGTTCCCAGGAAGCGGAAAGACTCCACAGTGTCAATTGTGGAGTCACATAGGTGATGGGGGCAGGTGAGGCTGAGTTCCTCCTATAGTCTACAACCATCTCCACTGTCTTTAGAGCATTGAGCTCTAAGGTTGTTTTGGCTGCACCAGTTCACCAGATGGTCTACCTCCCACCTGTAGGTGGACTCGTCACCATCAGAGATGAGACCAATGAGAGTGGTGTCGTCCACGAACTTCAGAAGCTTGACAGACTGGTGGCTGGAGGTGCAGCTGTTTGTGTACAGGGAGAAGAGCAGAGGAGAAAGAACACAGCCCTGGGGGGATCCGGTGCTGATGGTCCGGGAGTCTGAGACATGTTTCCCCAGCTTCACGAGCTGCTTCCTGTCAGACAGGAAGTCAGTTATCCACCTGCAGGTGGAGTCAGGCTTTTAGGTGGGCATTGGTGGAGGAGCCCAGGCCCCTGCTGAGGTGGGGGAGGTGGAGGTGATGAACTGTAGCTGGAGCTGTTGGGAGGTGTCGTGGGGGATGGTTGCAGGACTGTCCCTTTGTCTTTCAAAGCGACAGTAGAACTCCATCAGGTCGTTGGCTAGGCGTTGGTCGTTGATGGAGTGGGGGGCTTTAGGCTTGTAGTTGGTGATCTGCCTGAGCCCTTTCCAGACAGACGAAGAGTCGTTGGCTGAGAACTGGTGTTGGAGCTTCTCAGAGTACAGTCGTTTAGCCTCCTTTACAGCCTTGCTAAACTTGTACTTCGCCTCTTTGAATCTGTCTTTGTCCCCACTCCTGAAGGCCTCTTCCTTATCCAACCTTAACCTTCTGAGTTTGGCTGTGAACCAAGGTTTGTCATCGTTGTAACTCACCCTGGTGCATGATGGAACACAGCATTCCTCACAGAAGCTGATGTATGACATCACAGCCTCTGTGTACTCATCCAGACTGTTGGTAGCAGTCCTGAACACATCCCAGTCAGTAGAGTCCAAACACGCCTGGAGATCCTCCACAGCCTCACTGGTCCACTTCCTTGATGTCCTCACTACAGGTTTGCAGAGCTTTAGTTTCTGCCTGTAAGCAGGAATCAGGTGGACCATGACGTGGTCAGAGTGTCCCAGTGCAGCACGGGGGACAACGTGATAAGCATCCCTGACTGTGGTGTAGCAGTGATCCAGAATGTTCTCCTCTCTGGTCGGACATTTAATAAACTGTCTGTATTTAGGGAGTTCGTGAGTGAGGTTTCCTTTGTTAAAGTCACCGACAACAATAACTAAAGAGTCCGGGTTGGTCCGCTCCACACACAGTATCTGGTCGTTATTAATATGTTATATAAATATAGAAAATATTACCATGAATTCCAGTATGGACTGGGCAAATAAAAAACTTGAGCAAACAGGTAGGGAGAATGTGAGGATTTTAAGTGTGTATCTAAAAGATCAAATAGGATCGGAAAGTTCGGAGTGAATCATCTTCAACTCACTGTCACTTTTTTCATTAGATCCATCAGAAAGATCAATGGCAGAGTCATGCAGATGGTGTAAGATCTAGCCACAGCAGCTAAACCTATACATGTCATCAAGGCTGAGACCACAAGGCTCAAACTGCACTTACCTGCCAGAGTGTAATCCATATCAAAACCAAAACACTTCATCTTCTCCATGGCTAAGCTTCGGTTGACAAACACTCTGGTGGACAAGAAGGGTACATAGTCAATGAATGCTGACAGTTGGCAGTTCAAGCTGAATGCTGCACTGCTTACATGTCCTAAAACACACCACACCACTAGTTCACAGTTAAATAATCAGCAGTGATATCATGAAGGAAAGAATATGCAATGGTAATGTGTTGCTGCTGCAGTTAATGCAGTAGGTGAGAGTGAGAATGAGAGGGGACAGTGCCTGAAATAAAAAGAAGTTGTCAGATTTAAAGGTGGAGGCAAAAAAGAATTGTTTTTCATCATCAGAATGTGAGGGGACTTGTATCGCCTGTGTGTATTTTAATCATCCAAAACTGCAGGTATTATTAAATTCAGAGACTGCATTGATATCCCCAATCTATAAAATATAACTGAATTATATTATTCCCAACAGGGACTTTAAGCAGAAAGGTAAATATTATACAATGCTAATCAATGATACAAGTGTAACCCTAGTGAGTACTTTTGTTTGTACTGGGATGGTACAGTTCATCACAAAGATCCAAGATCACAGATCTGTAGAATCTATATCCGCTGATGAATGAGTCAGTCATCATCATTTGCCAGAAAACCCTCATAGTTATTAATCTATGAGGGTAGTTGCTAGTTGCTAATCCTTCCATTCGCATACTCCTATCAGTGATAGTATATCCATCACACAGCATTATGCACGAGTGTCACATAAGTGGTATCCTACCTTCTATTCTAGAACATTGTTTGGAAATTAAAGTTTAATTGTTTTTTGTAAGAGGTTTCAAGTGAGCTTTGTAGGCCTGACAGCAAAGTCATGTTCCCTGCAGCGATTTTACACACACACACAATATATGAAGGTGAAGTTTTAGCCTAAAAGATATGCAGCTATTGAAAACTATTAATCACTTGGTTCTGTAACTTTTATTTGATGCCTTCTCGCCTTAATTTGTATTAATTCTATTTACAAATTTTTCAATTGAAGGACCTTAGTCTTGTGAGCACAAATAACACTGTTGGATTTAAAGTGGATTGATAATCTGGTTTCAATTCACCACCTCATGTCTGCACGGCCACTTTCCTGTCTCCAAAATGTATATATGGGTCAGAGTTTGTGTGCAAGTATACACATTCTCCTGTCATATTAAAAACATTAATATTAAATAACTTTAATTGACATTAAAGCTACCTCAGGGCACCACCCTTCAAAGGAAGGGAAATGACAGCCAATTTAGTGATTCAGTCTCATGAAATTACTGACTACAAATTTGGAAATTTAATCAATAATTCAATTGATAACTTTAACCAAAATGACCATGTCAATAGCTAGCAAAGTTGAAGGATATAGAGTTCTTGACAAGGTAGAGGTTGGAAAAATTCACACTTATGACATTAATGAAGACAACATGTGTGTTTATGAAAAACATTTATTATGAAACTAACAAAAGTATTAACACACAAACTAACTAAAGGTGTACTTACTGTGTACAGATGTGAATGTGAGTATGTGTGTGAGTGAGTGAATGAGTGTGCTTTCAAAATGGCAGAAGGCCACAATTAAACCAAAGTGCATATGAAATGGCTACACCATGTGCTTGATGTCACACGTACACATGTGGACAAAATTGTTGGTACCCTTCTGTTAAAGAAAGAAAACTCACAATGGTCACTGAAATAACTTTTAAACTGTCAAAATAATAATAATAAATACAAATTGACTGAAAACTAACTAATTAAATCAGACATTGTCATTTAAAAAAACAAACTAATGAAAATGGCCTGGACAAAAATGATGGTACCTAGGAAAGATTGAAAATAATTTGACCAGAGGGACTAAACTAAACTAAGGTGTGTCTTCTTGGACAGATGAGACAAAACTGGAGCTTTTTGGCAAGTCACATCAGCTCTATGTTCACAGAGGCAAAAATGAAGCACTGAAAGAAAAGAACACTGTAACTACTGTGAAACATGGAGGAGGCTGTTATGTTCTGGGGCTGATTTGCTGCATCTGGCTAAGGGTGTCTTGCAGGGTACAATGAAATCTCAAGACTATCAAGACATTCTGGAGCGAAATGTGCTGCCCAGTGTCATCATTTCTGTCCAGGTCATTTTCATTAGTTTGTTTTTTAAAATGATTCTCTTTAACCACAATTCAAAAGCAATGTCTGATTTTCCTTAGTTAACATTACGTCAATTTTTATATATTATTACTTTTGTCCGTTATTTCAGTGACCATTGTGCGTTTTTGTTTCTTTAACGGAAGAGTACCAACAATTTTGTCCACATGGTGCCAAGTTAGAGAAAGTAGTTAATGCATGCAAAGTCGGTGAAGAGCATAACATAACTAACATTAGCTTTCAAATAACTTAGCTAAAATATCACAGCAACACAAATCAAACTTTAAAACATAACACAAAATTGAATATAACAGTCCTTTGCTTGGCCTAGTGTAATTTTTTTGATGTGCTGTTTGAAGTCCAGTGAAGTGGTCTTGTTGATTGTGGCTCCTGTTATCTTACATCTGCTGGTCAGACATTGTGTCATGGCCAATTGCTCATGCTGAAGTTCTTAGGCAGGCTCTCGCCTCGCTGCCTTTTGGAAGGTTTTAGCAGTCTGCTCTAGGCAGTCCTGCTTGGAGATGGGAGAGGGATTGGTTAGGGAAATGTCTCCCTTGCTGGGTGAGCAGAGATACTCACCTTTCCTCCAGGAGAAGTGAGTAGAAAATAGAAGAAAGGGGGTAGCTTGGCTTTTATTGTTCTGATGACCTCATGGGTCATGGGGCACACAGTGACCAATAGTGGTTGAGAGTTGTCTCCAGGAGCAGTTTTACCACCTATGTGTGAAGATGAAGCACCCTGGGAGACTGAGTTCTGGAAGCTCTACTTTGTCTCCAAAACAAAGAAGACATGTGGTCAGGCTTTTGGCTACACATGTAGGCCCATCTGTTGTTCACAAATAGTAGGTCCCAACATCAGCTTTCTGTAAAAGTTAAATTGTAAACACAGTGAAAACAATAATTTAACAACTGAAGAGTCCTTTTAGATTAATATACAGTATATAACAGCAGAAATCAAGTCAATGGCAGAAGGGTAAGAAATAATACATACACTTTAGCTGATATGGAGGGTCTGTGATATCATCATTTTAACCATAGACTGTATGTATGGGTACAAATGTGAAAGGTGAGACCCATCATCCATCTTTATATACAGTCTTTGATCTCTCCATTAGAGAACTAAGGATGCTGTTAAGTAGTCTCTCCACAACCAGATTCACCCTCTCCCCTTTGTTGAACTGGTCATTAGTATCATTAAAATCTTCACTATCCATTTTTGGCAGTGAGAAAGAAATGGTGTTGATTTCTGTAAAATTAGAGCCTCAGATTTTTGAGGGCTGATATTAGGAGTAAAAAATGTTGGCTAATGAAATAAAATATTTAACATATGTTCTAGGAGTGGCAATGTTGCTTAAAGGTTCAGTGTGTAGAATTTAGTGACATCTAGAGGTGAAGTTGCATCTTGCAGCTGAATATTCCTCATCGCTACCTCCCCTTCCAAAAATGA